GGCGGTACCTACTGCGGCGGCTGGGAGGACGGCAAAGCCCATGGGCACGGCATCTGCACCGGGCCCAAGGGGCAGGGCGAGTACGCCGGCTCCTGGTCGCACGGCTTCGAGGTGGCGGGCGGCTACACCTGGCCCAGCGGCAATACCTACCTGGGCTACTGGGCGCAGGGCAAGCGGCACGGGCTGGGCGTGGAGACGAAGGGCAGGTGGATGTACCGCGGCGAGTGGTCGCACGGCTTCAAGGGGCGCTACGGCGTGCGGCAGAGCCTCAGCACGCCGGCCCGCTACGAGGGCACCTGGAGCAACGGGCTGCAGGACGGCTACGGCGTCGAGACCTACGGCGACGGAGGTGGGCGCCGGCGGGGGGCGCCCCGCGCGCGGCAGCGACGGCGGTGGGGGGCGAGAAGGGGGCGCGCCTGCGTGAGCGCGCGCTCGGCGGGGAGGACCCGGCCCCGGCTGCCACCGGGCCTTGCGCCGCCGGGCCGCGGGGGCTCCTCAGTGCACGGGGCGCCACAGGTGCCCCGCGCCGCCCCGCCGGGCGTTAGCGGCCGCTCCGGGGCTCGGCCGCGCGGCGCTCCCGGCTTATCGCGGTCTCCCAGCCCGGGCTAAAAGCATTCAGCTCGCGGCTTTCCGCAGCGCTTGCCGGGCTCGTCGAGGGTCGGGAGGGCAAGCTCCCTGCGCCTGGAGCCTTGGAGAGGGTCGGGCTGGGATTGGGGAAAGGCTGTTCACCAGGGGGTGGTGGGCTGGAACTGGATGCCCAGGGCAGTGACCGCGGCCGGAGCTCAAGGGGCGCTTGGAAGTGAGGCTTGAATTGTTTGTGCTGTGAGGAGACGGGAGTTGGACTCAGTGATCCGTGTGGGACCCTTCCAAGTTGGGATGTGCTGTGATTCTGTGACTCTCTCACCACTGTTTCCGTGGTAAAATACTGTAAACTTAAGAAAGATCTTCATTCCATGTTGCTCTGCTCCCTCGCTTCACTGATAACATATGCTGGTTTACATTCATGAACTCAACTGCAGTGAAGTGGATACTGAACGTGCATGACACGAGTGAAACTTAGCTGCACCTCCATGCAATGACTTGCACTGCATTCAAATGCAGTTGCAGTTTCAAACACATGGAAGCTGGACGGGTGATGGATGAAACCAGTCCATAAATCACCCCCTCGCTCACCGTAGGAAGACAGATGCATGCAGTAGGGCCGGACACCCCACACCCATTTTAGCAGTGCTTTTCGAGCTCAGGCTTAGTGGGGTCACTCGGGACTCAGCTAACTTGATGGGTTAGTTGCACCTCATCCTACCATGCCTGCATCATTTCACATGTTGTGTGGAGAAGTAATCCCAGTGTTTTTAAATTAGCTTTCTGCTGCTGTAATGTTATTGACATCAGTGGAAGTGCCACCTCACCTGTGTGGAGTTGCTTTTAAGCTTGATCTAGTGGTGGCATCCCTGCCCATGGCATGGGGGTTGGAACTGGGTGATCTTTAAGGTCCCTTCCAACCAGTGCCATTTTGTGATTGATTTGTCCCACTGTAAATGAAAGAGCTGATCTCAGTTTTAGAATTAGCAGTGTGCTATTTTTTAAGGAAGGGCTCCTTGCTGCAATGCTGCGCAAGCTGCATATACAACGTGCAAGAAATACAACTTAACAAAATTAGTGGTAACTTGTAACTTCGTAATGATGGGATTAAAGGACCAGCCTGTGTATCAGATCTGTTGAATGATTCTGCTGCTGGTTTCTTTAGGGAGTTCTGTTAAGAGATTTGTGGTAGAACTGTAGAAATAGCATCACAGAATGGGTGATTTTGTATTATGCGGAAGAGGTGTTTACAGATGGAATACTTTCCCCTTCTGCTCTTTCTGAAATACAGAGTGTAGTGAATTGGGTGAGATTCATTTCCATGAGAAAATGCAGTGCTATGTTTTCTGTACCCTGAACTCTTCTAATCCCTTTGATTGTGCATTTTTATAACTACGTGGAAAAGTTTTCTGATGTGGAAAGCTCTGATGATCACTCTCAGCGTGGCTATTGTCGTGAGGATTTAAAAGCCTAACCAAACCACATGGATAAATTTTCAGTTTCACTTTCATCACACAATACATTTTGAATTTTGTTCAGATTTATTTTGTCTCGTAACTCAGAAGCTGAATTCCTAGTGGCCATAGTTTTGTTTGGTTGTTGTTTTTTGTTTTTCTTGTCCAGAAAAGTAAATTGCTACTGTGTTTCACAAACCAAAGTTCCTTGTATCTCCATCTTTAGACTTCTTGTGGATACTTTTTATTTCAGTAGAATACTGATAATTCAGTGGTAAATTCTGTAAATTTTTAGGCTTTAAACTAACAGGAAACCCTTTGTCTGAAACAGCACTTAGAATGTACAGCTTCCTTTGTAAATTATTTATTTTTATTAACTAAAATCTGCTAGTAAGGTCCCAGTCTTTTAGACATTTCAATTCATGTGGACAGAAGATGTGAATCCCATTGATTTTAATGGAAGCATTTGTGAATGAAGCCAGGCGATATGTCAGATGATTGCAGATGGATCTCTGTGTTCATGCTCTGGGTACAGTGGTTGTAGTTGCACACTAGAAGAATGTCTGAAATGCTTTTACAAGGCAGCCGGATTTACATATGTGTCTTTAATACACTGTGAAATAATCACAGGAAAGCTGTTCCTTAATTCTGACCTGAGAATACTGGAAAATAGTGGGTTTTGCTATGCAAATTGCCATTTTGCTTTAAAAACCACTAAAATACAGGCCTTTTTACTGTTGTGGGTTTTCTTTTGCTGTTGTTGTTGTTGTTTTGGTAATATGATATTTCTGATTGCTTTGATGATATTAGTAATTGAAGTTGAGGAAGAGAAAAGGAACATGAACACCAGTGGCAGTCCTCAGTGTTTCTGCACACACTGCTTTGCACGTTGTCAGTAGTATAGATCGTGCCTTGTCTGAATGCAGTGAAGTTGTCACTCCAATGAGTCTTTGAGAAAAACACAGTGAATTATACGTAGATCATGGTCCTCTGTTCACTGTACGTGCCTATGCTTGGCTTTCAAGTGACCTTTCAGGTTGTACCCTACAATGATCTGGAGTTCTGTGCCTCCTCTAGGCTGCCTTGATTTCCTTGGATCCGTGTGAATCCACCTGCTTACCTGCGGATTGTTTACTGAGGGATTGCAGCCTAATTTGCTGCTTCAGTGTGTGTAAGTTAGTTAGCACCTTATGATCCTGCCAGCAGTAGCAGTAACGGGAGTACTGCTGTAAGAACATGTGTTGTTCATCTGTGGACATCAGTGGCAAATGCATGTGAAGAAAAGGCCATCAGTGGTGCACGCGTTCATTGATTTCTAAGCAGTCAGCTTTCTAGGTGTTTGTTTATCTAACGTCCAGAGAGCGTGTAAGAACATTGAGGTGGCACCTAAATTATTAAACTACAGAAGATGAATGTAAAGGTTATGAGTAGGAGAAGCAGTTCCTAGTGCGGTGGCCTCCATGCTTTTTTACAGCACAGTTTTAAATTTGAGCCACAAGTAGGCAATGACATTTACAGCTCTAAGATACAGTTGGGAGTCTGGAGAAGTGTAGCACGATGTAGCTCTGAGGAGACAGGTTATGACATTCTACCTTACAGCAGTTTGCCAAGCAAAAACAAAATTTGAAAGTACACTTTCTGTTAGTTCTCAGGCTGAAAATATGAACATCTGCTCAGGGGCACCACGGTCAGTAGAAGCTGTTGCTGAATGGTTGGGTTTTTTTGTTACAACAAGCCTGGCTTTTAGGAGGTAAAGTTATCATTTTATTGTAAAAAACAGTTTTAAATTAGCTCCATAATCACAGTGGTAATTAAAAAGTTGACCCTCAGTGAAACTGCTATAGACAGTGCATTATAATATATGATAAAACAAGAAATGATGTGTTGATATTGTCATTCATATTTGTATCTGTGTATAGAGCTAAGTAGATACCATGTTTCTATCTTTATTCATAAGAAGAGCTGTTTTATCATCTTGTACTGTATGCTGTAGCATTTTATTATATTACAGTATTAACGTACCAGATACCTTGATTGTTTAAAGATGCCCATAATTTCTTCTGATGAAGGGATGAGGCAGTTATGGTCTGATATGATAAATCACGGTACTTAAGTCTCCATTCTAGGAAGTTTTTCACACAGAGGGTGGTGACGCACTGGAACAGGCTGCCCAAGGAGGTTGTGGATGCCCCATCCCTGGAGGCATTCAAGGCAAGGCTGGATGTGGCTCTGGGTCACATGCACATAGCAGGGGACTTGAAACTAGGTGATCACTGTGGTGCTTTTCAACCCAGGCCATTCTATGATTCTACAGGTCTGTTGCATCTGTATTCTGTAAACTGCCCTCCATGTGCCATTAAAATATCTTTCCTTTAACACTTAAGTTAAAAAATCAAGGAAAGAATCAGCTTTCTAGCACTAGTATTGAACCTTTTCTCTTACAAATTTCTAATATTAGAAAATATCCTTGTTGCCTGCAAGACTGCATAAAATTCCAACTAAATCTCTTCCAAGAGCCAGTTCACTATGAATCTTTCATTGCCTCATTTGCTCTTTTCTCTTTAGAAGAAACTGGCATTGATTTTATTGGCCTAGTAGAAAGAAAAATCTGACAAATAAACAGCAGCACATCAATTGTCCTCATTTTAATACCCTTTTGGGCAACAGTAACCACTTCTGTCTGTAGAGCAGGGAAAAATGTGAATCATAATTTGATTAACTATTTTTGAGCTTTTTTTTTTTTTTTAGGTCAAAATATTAGTAAGAAAAAATGGCAAAGGCAGGCCATTTGTACTTTTATAAAATTCTGTGCTGGAAGGGATTGTTTCTGCTTTGAGTCAGACACTCAAATAGCAACGTGGAGAGCCACAGTTATACTGCTGTAATGTAATTCTGGGATATAATCACAATTAGAATTGGATTTATTATTTTCAAATGAAATTAACGAACTGATGCAGAATATCAGATTGTTGCATGTAGCAGTGCAGTGTACCTTGCCAGATTCTTCAGCATGTCATTACGATTCTAGGGCTTTTCCAGTTATAATTGAGGACAAAATGTAGTCATTTATGCCCATAAAATATTAATATATCTCTCTGAAATGTCTGTTTAATTAAGAAAAAAACTACCATATGACCTTTTTTTTTTTTTTTTTGCAGTATTTTCAGGATATGTCAGATTGCTGTTTTGCGCTCATGTCTCTATTTGTTCTTTTCCATATGCTGAGTTTTTTAAAATAATCATGTTTCTAGATTCAGCACCCTTACAAGCAATACAGCAGTAGGTATCCAGGATACAGAGAATGAGAAAGAAACGAAGAAGGTTGTTGGTTTATGTCAGCAGCCATCTGTTAAAACAAAAACCTTCCACTTAGTAGAATTTTTCTACCAACACAAAATAGTTATGTTGTCAAACCTATTTAGTATTATATAAGAAAGAAATCTCACAAACGTGATTGCATGTTAACATTGAAATGCAGCTTAGCTGAAGAGGTAATACAGTAAAACAGTAATCGATAGATAATTGACACCAGCACAGCAAAATACCATGCTTATACAAAGGAGATTGAATATCAAAGCAGCTGAATCTTTGGGCTGCATCTGAAACTCTGGGTATTTCACAAATATGATTACAAAACTTTATTCAGTCATGGAATTTGACATTTGATCTTTAGTTCTCTGAAGAATCATTTTTAATATGTACTCAGTTGAAGCAGAATAAGCTCAAAGATATTTTAGGGAGAGCTTATTCATACTTCTGTATGAATATTCAGAGTCAAAATAGCTTTTAAAAGAAATAGTAGTAGGTGGATGAGAAACCTCTTTTTTTCTTTTGTGTGTATCTCTTAAAGAAGTTTCATAGGGATTACAGTGAAATGATCTTAGAAAGCAAGTTATCTTCTGTTTGCCAGGAGTGGGGCACCTCACACCTTCCTTTGGCTTTCAGAGCCTAGACATGGGAGTGTGTGTCTTATCAAAATGAAAATGCTTTTTGACAATACAAGAAATAAAATAGTCTGAAACAGTAATCTGGTGATAATGCTGTTTCTTGGCTCAGATGCAGCTTTGCATGTACACAGATAAGCATGTCTTCTCATATCAAATACTGTGTTGCTGCTCTTTGTACTGCTTTTTGAAAAAACACTCACAAATAATTATGGTCACAGTATAAACAATGGAATGTAGTTATAGATAGGGTGGTGTGTCATACTCTGTTTATTACTGTCTTGTCTTCTGTATGTACTGCAGCAAAAATGGAAGGCAAAAAAAGCAGAAAAGCCTTCACATTTCTGATTTCTGTCACAACACACTGCAGAATGTAAATAGAAAAATAATCTGACTGTATTTTTATGTCACAGAAGCCTTTCATATTTTTGATGACTGTCAAATAGCTGGAATATTGTTTTTATCTTTAAACCCAAGTTGATACACTTCTCAAGCAAAGGACCTACTCTTCTGGGAATTACTCAACAGATGAGATGGCAGTGAAGGTAGTCTGCTGCTTTCCTGTGACTCCTCCTTCAGAAAGGGTAGCTAGAGTGAAGTGTAGCTCGCTTTATACTGCCAATATTTTAGGTAGCTAGTGTACTTTGTTTATGATATTGAGTAAACAAAAAAATGTTCATAAAAAGCAATATATACAGAGGTTTTTTTTGTAGTGTTTTATCATTTTCTTCCATTCAAGTACATTCAAAATCTTTTTAAAACATTTGATTGTATGATAGGGCTTCATAACAGCAGTCTTCAGGTGGGCCATGGGATCAAGACAGTTTCGTCTTAGTAGGTTGTTGAGTATGTCATGACAGGGAGAGGTCTGCAGTTGTCTTTAAAAAACAGGATGTTTACTCATCCCACTAGCTCTCCTTGTGAGCAGCTGGAGGCGAGAGCCCAAGTGCTCCACTTCCTCCCTGCTTTCTTTCCCTCCACCCTTCTCTCTCTTCCTTGTTGTTCCCTTTAAAAAACATTGAGGGAGTTCTGCCTTTCAGATTTCTTTTGAAATTTCTTCCATGGGTAGAACTGCTCAAAAAACACTTACGATGATAGCTACTGTGTTTTAGTTGTCAAAATAAGCTACTGCAGCTTGGAAAGCAAGGGCTTTGTTAAGGGAAAAAAATGATTTATGAAAAAACAAATAACAAAAAGTATGTAATTTATGTAGTCTCATATGCTGTACTTTTTTTCTTCTGTTTCTAGTTTCCTAAAGCAGACTTATCAGCACAGTGTTGCCAATAGCATACTGAATGTAGACTAGTAGTTCTTCTACAACTTTCTAAATTTAATTTCTGCTAATTACTTTAAAAGGTACATACCAGGGACAATGGACAGGAGGAATGCGACATGGATATGGTGTACGTCAGAGTGTACCCTATGGCATGGCAACTGTGATCCGTTCACCTCTACGAACATCTCTAGCTTCACTTCGAAGTGAACAGAGCAATGGCACCGTTCTGCATGACATCACTGCAGACAGTCCGGCTGGAACAAGAGGAGGTTTTGTGCTCAATTTTCACAGTGAAGCAGAAGCCATGGGAATTAAGAAAAAAGGAGGCTTATTCAGAAGAGGATCCCTTCTTGGTAGTATAAAACTTAGAAAATCTGAATCTAGATCCTCAATATCTAGCAAACGGAGCTCCGTCAGGAGTGATGCTGCTATGAGCAGAATTAGTTCCAGTGATGCCAACTCTACAATTAGTTTTGGAGATGGTGACTGTGATTATTGTCCTATGGAAGACCACGTTGATGCCACCACAACAGAAAGCTATATGGGTGAATGGAAGAATGACAAGCGCAGTGGTTTTGGTGTTAGTGAGCGTTCAAATGGCATGAAATATGAAGGAGAATGGTTAAATAACAGGAGGCACGGATATGGATGTACCATGTTTCCAGATGGCACCAAAGAAGAAGGAAAATACAAAAATAATGTTTTGGTTCGTGGAATAAGAAAGCAACTTATACCAATACGCAACACAAAAACTAGAGAAAAAGTGGACAGAGCTATAGAGGGTGCACAGCGAGCGGCTGCCATGGCAAGAACGAAAGTGGAAATTGCAACTTCAAGGTATGTTACTGCTAAATATATTTGTTTGTCATTGACTTCTTGGGGGAAAAAATCTTGTAGTAAGTGAGCTCTTAGTGTTGACGAAGTATTCAAAAGTGCAAGTGTTTAAATGTTGTCTTTCACTTTCAAATGTGTATCTAATTGGCTTTACTTAAATTAGACATATGAAACTTAAAACCTCAACTTATTAGACTGAAGTTACTCATATATGTTCCATAATATAAAAGTAGATTTCCAGGCTCATACATTTCTGCCTTAAGTCAAGAGCTGTTGCAGTATGTCCTTACTGCATGGAACATAAAACTGCTGAGGAAATGTATGGAATTATGTGGGGAATGTGAAGTGACAAAGGTATATCTTCCTATAAGCAATTATGCTTATTGTGTTGATAATTTTTTGGGAATCAACTGAGACTCTAAAATGGCACATTTTCCACTGGGGATCTTAACATGTGAGTATTTATCTGAGGGAGTGAGGGAACGAACAGTGTGATAATAATGGTTGAGGCTCTTGTGCTTAGAGGCTGCAGTTTCAGTTGCCAGAAGAGTGTCTGCTGAAAAGAATGTTTGTATGAGGCTTCGTTAGCTTTGAAGTATTGCTCTCCTGCAGTCTGAATTCATCAGGCTTTTGTGACCACCTCTTCAAATAGCAGTGGGCTTCTCCCCACCATCAAGTATTCGAGGTGGAAGGGAAAAGTGAAAGAGTATGATTAGGAGTAATAGGGGAAAATGTCACTTCTGCTTTGGGCTCCTAACCAACAACCAGAGTTGTCTGAAATGGAATTGTTATAAATTAGATCAGTCTAGACAATGTTAATAGGTTTTACTATAAAGACTGAGGGCTCTTTAAAAAGCTATTTAATTTTTAATGCTTTCAGATAAGTTTCTGTGGCAGTTTCTCTTTTTGGTTTTGGTCTGTTTCCTCAGGCAGGCTTTTCTTGAAATATGCTGTGGACCAGAAAAAGAACCCAGAAATGTGCATGAAAGAAAATCTTCCTGCTATTTTAGAAAGAGGCTGTCACGTTACACTTACAGCTGAACAACTGATTCCTGATTTAGTATGGTCAGTAGTGTATGTTCAGTGACTCTCCTTTTTCTGGCCGTTGTCAAGAATACAGAAAAGACTGAAAACTACATACATGGGAAGGGTGAAATACATGGATGGCTCATAGCAAAAAGTAGTTGAGACATAAATATGAAGAATTTAGTGTACTGTTCAAGAGGCTTTATGAGCACTGGGCACCAAAGTAACTAGAGGGTAGCATATATTCTACTGCTTCTATAAATACATGTAAGGCATTATATGACAGCATATCACATTAGTGAAGCTGAGCTGTAATAGCTAGCTTTAAGAAGTTCCTGGATCCCATTCATGTTTTGTCAATACATAAGCCTTAACTCTCAAAAATGAGTGACAGAATGTGTGGATAGGGTAATCACCGCTTGGAGTCAATATAAAGATGTTAAAAAAAACTATGGTCTGAGATCCTTAAGTTACAAGGTGCAGTGTATACACTTCCCCCTTAAGAAGAGATATGTCTCTAAGGTGTTTTGTTGCCTGTCCTCCTTCTCTGCTGCTTCTTTGGAGCTATCCATGAAAGTAGTGTTTATTTCTTGAAAAGAAGTTCTTAGAAGTGGGACAGTGGAAGTCATCTGTAGTAGTGCACCTGTGACCATGGGCTACTCCTTTGGTTTTTCAGTTGAGAATCTGTCAGGCACAGTCCCATGATGTACCTGCAACCTTGATGTCAGCACAGGTGAAGTTTCTTCTTTTTTAGCAGCCTTGCACTGACTGTACTGGCAAGAAGCCAAAGGCAAAGAGGCCTGACACCTAATCGGACAACATCAAGCATAAATATTACATAAACTTCTCTCGTGAGTGTATATGAGGTTCATGCGGTAGGGAAAACATGCTTCCCGTCTCTCAAGTTTTCAGAATTCCTTTTAGGATCAACAACTGGGAGTAAGTCCATGGCATTATGTGAAGTAAGGGACTGTCATGCTGGCAGAGTCCGTTATACTGACTATCCAAGAGTCAGATCATCTAGAATAGTTCCTAGAAGAGCATTCCAGACTGACTGGATTAGTACTGTTTCAGGATGAAAGAACTTGCTTCTATCGTTTGGAAACTTGAGGCTCACTACTGGTTTGTGACTGCTAGTTTACTAGACTGATAAATGTTGCTGTCTAGTTGATAAAAATAAAATACCTTTGATTTACAGTGAGATTATCCTATTACTGATGCAGAATATTGCCCCTGGGAAATTTCTGCTAACATAACTTCTGCAAAATCTCACTGTGCTGAAAGCATAGTGATAGGAACTGAGCAATTATTTTCCTAACGCTAGGTGAGGAGAGAGATTGGGAAGAGTCTGAGAGACTTCAGCTGCACCTGCCTCTCAGATACTAGTATTTCTGCAGTGTCTTAGATGAATGGTTGTCGTCTGTTTCCTAATGATCAGTATTATGGATTGAGGGGAGAGGGAGAAATCCAGGAGTGCCTCTTTTTCATTTCTCTGACATATAATACAGATACAGAAGTGTTTCTGCCCATATGGCCTTTAAGACTTTCTGTGTGTATAACCTAACTGATGGATGTCAACACACACACACGCACACGGTTTTCTATTCCAGACAGCTAGAAACCCTGGCTCACTATAGTCAGACACCTTCCTTTCCGGCTGTGTGCTCTTGCTCTTGTACTGTTCATTCCCTAAATGTTTGCTGAGCTAAAGGAAACCAGACTCCATTCTCCTCTTCATAGTTCCCTGCTGATTGTGCCAGGTTTGACTGATAGTTTGACCTGTTGCAGATGTCCACACCGTCATCAGCAAGACCAGCCACTGTTTTGCTTTATATTCTTGATGTCCTTTTATATCTAAAAGTCCTTAATAATCTGTGTAGTCACCCTTTATCTATCATGATAGTTTGTGTATGAAGATCTAAAAGTTGGATTAAGTGTAGCTTTCCTGAGCCTGAATTTACATGGCTCTCTTGACTCATCCTTTGGGGTTTTGAGGTATCTGTACCGAAGTGTTTAGTTACAGCAGCATTATTTCTCTAAAGATGGAAGAGGAAGCTTTATAAAAATGTGCAGTGTATGGAAAAGTGGTGTATGAGGGAAATAGTTACTAGCCTCTGCTACACAGATCTCTACCCAAAACAGATTATATGGTAGCAACAATAGCAGTATTTTTAGAGTGATAATGCAGCGTGGGAGTTCAGTTTGTACATTATAGTTTTCCTAACTATACTTAAGACAAAATATTAAGGTATAAAAACAAAAATCCTAGATTTTGAGGGATTAAGGAAGTATATTAGATACTTGTTCCTTTTAAGATATTAAAAGGTCTTTTTTTCTTCTTCTTCTTTTTTTTTTTTTTTTTTCCTTTTTTAAGTGATTATGAGCAGTAATTAGATCAAATTCATCTTTAGCACCAATTTGTGCTGAAAGTGGTCAGGTTTACTTTAGATACATTTTGAGGGCTTGGTCTCTAAAAGCGGATGCTCTCTTCCAGAAACTGTTAATGAATTCTATTTTTCTGTCTATTTCAAGCACATGTGAAATGCATTAAATAAAAAATAAATTAAAAAAAAAAAAAAAAAAAAAAAAAAAAAAAAAAAAAAAAAAAAAAAAGCTAGGATATATACTTTACCTTTTGGATGATATTAAAAATCCCCAAAAGTCCACCAAAGCAAGAGTGAAACAGAAATTTAATATCAGATACTTCTCACCATAGGGATTTTGAACTTCGTTTTTATTCCTGTTATTTCTTACTTATAAGAGGTAAGCCTTGGCAGGTTCACTATGAAACACTGGATTTTCATTATGTTTTACTTTTGCTTACTGGAATTATATTAGAACACTTCTTTTATGGTATGAAAATGCCTGAAGTCCTCCTTGGAAGAGCAGTTTAGCTCTTCCAAAGTTTGATTAACTTTGCCTCTATCACTACTTATAACAGTAAAAACTGTAGCAATTTAGGAATTTGGGAGTTGAATATAAACCTGCATTCTCATACTGAGTATCTCTGGGTGTTTTTAAATGTATGAATACTGTAAGTGAATATGTAGCCCTGGAAGCAGAAAGAATGATGTTTGTTTATATGCAGTCTTTCCTACACTGGATTCTTTCTAGGAAAGTCAATATTACAGGTTCAGAAGTGAGAGCTCAGAGCCAGTCTTTTCTCCCTTCAGATTGTTCCTAGCTAACACTCAACTAGAAATTCTCCTTTTAGCATTGTCTCTCTGGAGAAAAAGGAACTTTGCAAGTACATAAGAACGAAAAGATGAAAAGACAGTAAAAGAAATAGGTGTTGAATGATAGTGATAACGGAGAGAAAGGAAAAAAAGAAATCAAAAGAAATAAAATGTTTCCTTGTTGATCTTTTCCTTGTACTCCATTGATCTTTCAGCTCATAAAACAGCCAGAAGAATTAAGTAAAGTATATATACTTTATTCTGCTTTCCATGGAAACAAACACTTCTAAAACTCTTTCACAATTTTGAGATAAGTTAGTAACTTGTATTGTCACAATTTGCTGCAAGACCTTTTGCCCACCTGAAGAGTTACATTGTCAGTGTTTGTTGCATAAGCACCTGCGGTTTCAGTCTGGCATAATGGTGCCTTTGTGTTAGGCACAGTACAAACAAATCACCCTGAAAAGACCTTACAGTCTGGGAAAATGGCTGTGTCCACCAAATGGAAAAAAGCTGGCACATCTGTGAAAGGGCCTGAGATCAAGATAGCAGTAAAATTAATCTGTGCAGCTAATAATATAGAGCAATTTCTCCTTGTTAATTAGCTGTGTATGCTTAGATTGCCTTACTTTGCAAGCATCCAGTCAGGGATCACTTCTAAGGGGAGATTAAGCAGTGCCTTTTCTGCAGTGATTTCTTTCTCGCAGCAGCTTTTTCATACTACTCCATTTTATTTTTCACATGTTTGAGTCCGAATCCACAGATGGTATGGCTTAGGTGCAGCCTGTATATTGCTGTATA